AGAGCACTATACCCTAATGGTTCCAAACCATTAATCAAACGTGTGTTACAGATTGAGTTACAGGACAAATGACAGTTACATAATTAAATGGCAGTTGTTGTTATTGCCTTGAGTAATTAAATGGCAGTGTTTATTGCCTTGTGTAATTCAAAGGTAGTCATTACTACTTTATGTAATTAAACTGCAGTTATTATTACCTTGTGTAATTAAATGGCAGTTATTATTACCTTGTGTAATTAAGTGGCAGTTATTATTACCTTGTGTAATTAAACTGCAGTTATTATTACCTTGTGTAATTAAATGGCAGTTATTATTACCTTGTGTAATTAAGTGGCAGTTATTATTACCTTGTGTAATTAAATGGCAGTTATTATTACCTTGTGTAATTAAGTGGCAGTTATTACTACCTTGTGTAATTAAACTGCAGTTATTATTACCTTGTGTAATTAAATTGCAGTTATTATTACCTTGTGTAATTAAATGGCAGCTATTACTGCCTTGTGTAATTAAATTGTCATTACTGTTACCGTACATAATTAAATGGCTGTTACTATTGCCTTGTGTAATTCAATGGTGGTTATTATTGCTTTGTGTAATTAAATGGCAGTTATTATTGCCTTGTTTAATTCAAAGTTAGTTATTATTGCCTTGTGTAATTAAATGGCAGTTATTATTGCCTTGTGTAATTCAATGGTAGTTATTATTGTCTTTTGTAATTAAATGGCTGTTATTATTGCCTTGTGCAAATTAAATGGCTGTTATTATTGCCTTGTGTAATTAAATGTACACTGGCATAGCTGTTTAAATGGCAGTTGTTTTTTTTCCAATAGGCAAGTTTAATATTTACTAGTAGTACATTTTTTTCTTTTTCACATTTAGTTGGAAAATGCTGTGATAAATTGTGTACTCTATTGTTATTTTGATTGACCATTTGGAATAAGGAAGTTTAGTTGCTACAGATATCTTATTTCAAAAATCTTTCAAAATGTTTCAAAAGTCTTATATGGAGTGAGAAATAAGAACAGGAAATATATAACGATGTTTATATTGGTAGAGTGGAAAGAAGTTTGATGACTATACATTGTATTGATATGTGTAGCTGATGTATATATTTTCTTTATTGTTCAAGGTTTATGTGTGTAATATTTGTTAGCTCTGCATGACTTAACCCAACAAGGTATAAAAATGTTTGTGCATTGTTGTTTTAACATCTGTGGATTTTGTTTTTAAAGAAACACATACACACACATTCATATTTTTGTCATTACAGTTAAAATGTGTTTTTTAAGCTATACTGAGCATAGACCAAAAGAACTTATGTGATGTTATCTGTCTGTCTGTAAGCTGAATTGGTATAATCACTGCTACTTATAAAGTACTTGGATGATTGTCATGAAACTATACATATATATATATATATATATATATATATATATATATATATACACATAGACACACATTCAAGGTATAGTTAAACCATTACGAAAATATGGCTGCTCTGACTTCCAATGTGGCAACAAAAGAAGTCATTTTGAAAATCTTGTTAAGATTACTTCTCCTCAGCAGCTATTCATATTAGAATGTGTTGTCCTTCTTATGAGTTTGTCCTGAATAACAGCAGAACTGATTGTGTTGTCCTTCTTATGAGTTTGTCCTGAATAACAGCAGAACTGATCTGGTGTCTGAAATGACTACCATTGCAGCCATCTTGAAAATCTTGTAATTGTCATATTGACATATTTTATTTTTAACCAAAAGACTTTTCTGATATCAAGTTGGATCTAAATGAAAATGGTACCATTCCTACATCCATTATGGCCACAACAGTCTTTCTTTAGAATGTTTTTAGGGATTTTTGACCTGAACAGAGTATTTCTTTGCCATGGAATTTTCACTAGATAGCTTCTTATGATTCCTAGTTGGACGGATTTTCCTAGTGGTTCTCACTAAAATACTTTTTATGATGTGATGTTTATCCTCAGTGAAGATGGTACCACTTTTATGATGTGAGGTTTGCCTTCAGTGAAGAATGAACCACTTTTATGATGTGAGGTTTGTCTTCAGTGAAGATGGAACCACTTTTATGATGTGAGGTTTGCCTTCAGTGAAGAATGAACCACTTTTATGATGTGAGGTTTGTCTTCAGTGAAGATGGAACCACTTTTATGATGTGAGGTTTGTCCTCAGTGAAGATGGAACTACTTTTATGATGTGAGGTTTGTTCTCAGTGAAGATGGAACCATTTTTATGATGTGAGTTTTGTCCTTGGTGAAGATGGAACCATTTTTATGATGAGAGGTTTGTCCTTTGTGAAGATGGTACCACTTTTATGATGTGAGGTTTGTCCTAAGTGAAGATGGAACCACTTTTATGATGTGAGGTTTGTCCTCAGTGAAGATGGAACTACTTTTATGATGTGAGGTTTGTTCTCAGTGAAGATGGAACCATTTTTATGATGTGAGTTTTGTCCTTGGTGAAGATGGAACCATTTTTATGATGAGAGGTTTGTCCTTTGTGAAGATGGTACCACTTTTATGATGTGAGGTTTGTCCTAAGTGAAGATGGAACCACTTTATTGATGTGAGGTTTGTCCTTAGTGAAGGTGGTTCCCTTTGGATATCTGTGGTAGCCATCATGAAATGTTGCTATTCAGTGGTTTCCATCTGGAAAATATTTTTCTTATTTAACATGGGATGGTATGTCAACATGAATTATTTCTTATATGTAACTAAAACTTATTCTCAGTATGTGTTAATAGACTGTGAATACAAATTATGATAAATAAACATCCCTAAATTTGAAAACACTTTTAAAAGAAATTCTTGAAAAAAAAATGATGCTGAGATATGGCTGCCTTGATGGACATCCCAAAAATTGTGTGGCAACTTAATGGTCAGTTTTCAGTGAAATACTATTATACACTGTACTAATATGTAGCTTTTGCAAATGGAAATGGCCTTCACGACACCATAGTGGTCATCTAAATATTTACATTTCTCTTGAACAAATGATGGCATTTATATGACCCTTTCACCAAAACACTTTTCCAGTGTGTTTTAGGCCAGGCGAAATGCACAGTTTTGTACTTCATTGAGATTTAGAAGACAGTGAATTTCATCTATACCATAGTTTGTATTTAGTTGCATTTCAAATAACAAATTAATTGCATTTAATTGAATTCCAATGAACAAATTGATTGTCTAATAGCTCTCTTGATTTTAAGGTTGAGGTTTTCAGTCACATTTAAGGGACTTGATTTTGATGTATTCATGATTTAGTTTGTGCCATGTTGTCATATTTGCCATATCCTTGAACTAGATTTTATTAGTTACTGTATAAGTAATTGTATATATAATATTATTCAGACTCAAAATTATAGATGATTTTAAAATTTTATGATTTTCTATTTGAATAGATTTGTAAAGTGTATTTTTTTGCTTGCCACACTTTCAATACTTGCACATTAAAAAAATTCATCATACACTTTTTATGAAACAAAAGCAATTTGTACTTGGATTGTCTTGGTAAATGTGCTTCTATTTATCTTGTAGACAGCTTTAATTTTAGTCACCCACCATAATGGTTACACCAGGGTATAGTGTGTGTGTTTGAGAAATTTAGCTGTTAATATTTCCCTCTGTTTATAATTTCTGTATATTCTTAAAATTTTCATTTCCAGACCATACATGTAATTCTCAAATCATTCAATATATTTGAACCAGTTTTGGTGATGATGTTAAGCAGGTTGCAAAAAGTACTTCTTTTCCAAATTCATGATGTCTTTCTGGTCACATTGACATAGAAACTGTGTCAGAAGTAGTATGGGAATTGACAGCACTAGACCGTAAAGTAGTGGAATAAGTAGTCTTTAAATTGAGAACATTGCAACAGAGGGTATTTAAATAGGAATATTTATGTAATTAGTGTACTTGGCAGATTAATCAGTGTATTTAAAGGAGCAATCAGTCTACTTGAAGGAATATATTTGGGGATATCAAATATCTGTATATTTGGGGATATCAATTATCTGTGTATTTGGGGATATCAGATATCTGTGTATTTGGGGATATCAAATATCTGTATATTTGGGGATATCAAATATCTGTGTATTTGGGGACATCAAATATCTGTATATTTGGGGATATCAATTATCTGTGTATTTGGGGATATCAAATATCTGTGTATTTAAGGATATCAATTATCTGTATATTTGGGGATATCAAATATCTGTGTATTTGGGGATATCAAATATCTGTGTATTTGGGGATATCAAATATCTGTGTATTTGGGGATATCAAATATCTGTGTATTTGGGGATATCATCTCTAGATGACTCTTATTACAGCACTTGTAATCAGAAATCATTTGTATTTCAGTAATCTCTTATCTGATTGAATTCTGATTTCCATATATTGTATGATAATATTATGTCAGCTTTTGATGGTTAATACAGGCATGAAAAATCAGTGAATATGATGTCTCACATTAAAAAACCTTAAATAAGATGGTTTCCTTGAAAGGTATTTAAAGTTGAAGGAGTTATTTTGTCCATGAAATATCCTTTCATTTGTTGAAATATGTGTGGCAAAAGTTTATGATAGGAAAAACAAAAATCTTAAAATGAAATAATACTAGTTTTTTTTTAGTTGAAAATCTGCTTTCCTAACATTGTTTTACAAAATAATTGGTAAATAAATAAGATGTGGTACTAGGTAGATCCAAAGATGCATGACATGATAGTCATCATAAAGAATGGCATTCGTTTACAGTTGTGGTGGATTTGTGTTTCCCTTACTTTTATACCATTTTGTGCAGTGTTAAAGTAACATATGGAGAAGTTCATTTTCCATAAAATATACCCCTTCAAACTTTCAGAAATTCTGGAAAACTCTTATAAAAAAGATGCACAGTTGATATGTATGAATCATGCTCTTAAGAACAACTGCCCCACCTCATTAAGTACCCGTGAATCATGCTCTTTGTTTAACAACTACCCTAACCACTCTGGTGGCCTAGTGGTTAGAGTGTCTACCTCAGATGCAGGAAGTCGTGGGTTTGATCCCCAGCTAAGTCAAAAATGGCTGTAACAGCTGCCTCATATTGCATTCAGCATTAACAGGTTAGTGTTAGGACTGATCAACCTGGTGTCAGGATAATGTGACTGGGTGGGACATTATGCTATATGTCTGTGGCATGATGCCCCAGTGCTAGACATCACTAGAAAGTGCCACATTGCAGGCATTGTAACGATATGACTGAAAATTTGTTAAAGCTACATTAGGAATCCAAATCATAAACACAAACAATTACCCCACCTCAGTACCCATGAATCATGCCCTTAACAATTATCCCACCTCATTAAGTACCTATAAATTATGCTCTTTTGTAGCAACTACTCCACCTCATTAAGTACCTATGAATTATGCTCTTTTGTAGCAACTACTCCACCTCATTAAGTACCTATGAATTATGCTCTTTTGTAGCAACTACTCCACCTCATTAAGTACCTATGAATTATGCTCTTTTGTAGCAACTACTCCACCTCATTAAGTACCTATGAATTATGCTCTTTTGTAGCAACTACTCCACCTCATTAAGTACCTATGAATTATGCTCTTTTGTAGCAACTACTCCACCTCATTAAGTACCTATGAATTATGCTCTTTTGTAGCAACTACTCCACCTCATTAAGTACCTATGAATTATGCTCTTTTGTAGCAACTACTCCACCTCATTAAGTACCTATGAATTATGCTCTTTTGTAACAACTACTCCATCTCATTAAGTACCTATGAACCGTGCTCTTTCTTAACAACTACCCCACCTCATCACCTCATTAGGTATCCATGAATCATGCTCTTTCTTAACAACTATCCTACCTCATTAAGTACCCATGAATCATGATCTTTCTTAACAACTATCCCATCTCGTTAAGTACCCAAGAACCATGCTCTCTCTTAACAACTACCACACCCCACTTCAGATTGAGGAGTTAAGCCAAGGGGTCATTCAAAGACATGTAAAGTGTCGAAAACATTTAGATTAATTGTTTTTTCATCATTTAAATTTATATTTCCTCTATATCATTCATATCCATGTGTAGGGTCATAGGGTTGAAATTAAAGACATGTACATTAGTAAGCCCTTACCAGATTCCCATTATCTTTGGATAATAAAAATAACATATTTTCCCAATCATTGTTTCACCAGGTTTATTAAAGCATTACTGGTAGAACTCGTTTTGCTACAATAAAACCAGTGTCCTGAAATTCTCAAAGACTACCATTATACTCTGATATTATTTCTAGCATTGTAAAGAACACAATCACATTCATTATACCTGTTTAATGATCTAATGTATTATAATTTCATTTTAAAATTTCTTTGAGATTATGGAGCTGTTATTGCTTAGGAAAGGTTAATCTGCTCTACAAGCAATGATTCCTAGAATTAACTGTGCTCAAAAAAGAGCTTTAAAGAATTAAATTAGCAACAAAGCCTTCAATATGTTGGAAAATTAAATAAGGCTATAAGTAGACGTTTGTAAGGTCAATTTGTTTTTTTCCTGCATTCATGCCTTGTTTATGTTGTTATTTCATTACCTTATTTTGTACCCTATCATTGATGTTGAGTAGGATCAATACAAGTCACCATGTCCATCTCTTGCACTTTTAGTTACTTAACGTCTCCCAAACCCTTTGATATATCTTCATGAAACTGGTTATTATTATCCATAAGTCCCATGTTTGATTACTTAATGTCTCCCGAACCATTGGAGATATCTTCATAAGTTTGGTTTGTATGCTTTTGTATTATTGCAAGATATTGTGTTCTGTAATAAGTGAATTTGTCAAAGTGTCTCAAGAATATTTTAAACATTATTCACATTTGTTACAAAATATTGTTCATCCATATGTCACACATTTATCTATCTATCTATCTATCTATCTATCTATCTATCTATCTATCTATCTATCTATCTCTCTCTATCTCTCTATCTATCTATCTATCTATCTCTCTATCTATCTATCTATCTATCTATCTCTCTATCTATCTATCTATCTATCTATCTATCTATCTCTATCTATCTCTCTCTCTTTCTCTCTCTCTCTCTCTCTCTCTCTCTCTCTCTCTCTCTCTCTATATATATATATATATATATATATATATATATATATATATATATATATATATTATATATTCATGAAATATAACATGCATTTGTATATATAAAGACAAGAGTCTGTGTTCCATTTAAGATTTTAGCTTTGTCAACTAACTTGTTACATATTGTAATCTTTTATCTGACACTTTTCCAGTTAATATCGTCTATATTATTTGAAACATCTTCATGAAATCTGATAACTGCATTTGTATCATGACAAGAGTTTGTATCCCATATAAGACTCGTCTTCATCAAATTAGTTTAATTACATGATGTGCAGTTACTGACCTTGATATCCAAATTCAGGCACAGCTGCCATTACTAAAAACAAAACTTTTTCATAATATCGGAAATTTTTTTAACACTTTTAGCTCAGCTGTCTAAAAACCTGAGGAGCTCATCGGTAGATTCTTTTTCATCATCTATCCATTAGCACAAGTTTGTTATTGAATCTCCTTGAGCTATTATGAAACTTTCCAAACACATTTCCATAATGTAGTTTAGTTGGGCCTAACTGATGATGGTTTGGGCCATGCATTCAATATGGCCACCTTAGCTGCCATGTTGAAAATTTTATTATCACTACTCTTGAATGCAAGGGCTTTTACTGCAAGACTTATGATGTCTAGATGGTCCAACTCCTAACTGAAAATGGGGCTGATCCAATGTACAAATGGCCACTACAGAAGCCATCTTAAAATTTTTTTTTATCACTACTCCAGAATGGAAAGTCATATTAACATGAGGTTTTCACTAGAAGACTTCTTAAGTGTCAAGATGGTCTTAAATATAAATGTTCCCACACTGATGACCAATATGCCTACCACACTGATGACCAATATGCCTACCACACTGATGACCAATATGTCTACCACACTGGTCATATTGAAAATTGTGTTATTGCTGCTCCTTCTTAGCAGCCATCTTTAATTCTTTCAGCTAGTCCTTTTGAAAGAAAATATTGCCTTGAGGTTTTTACCTGTAGCCTCCTTTGAAGTCTTGTTGGGCTTAAAGACTGAAAGATAACAGAGATAGTCTCAACAACCAGCAGATTAAGGGAAGAAATGTTCTTAACTTAAGTTGCAGGAAATTGGTTTTGGCTAGTTGAGCATCAATTTCTTCCAGGAATATGAGAAGCATACTAGTGACCAATATTACTTGACCAATCACTCAAGCAAGATTATTTGCTAGACAGTACATGACCAGCTGCTTAAGCATTTGGTTATGGGGTCAATGTCAGCCAGTTGAACCCTATCAATGTCTGTTGTCACTGATTTGATTTTTTGAAATTTGGTAATAATGCTTTGTTCAGTTAGTACAGTATAAAGATGCTGCATTACTTTGAATTACAATCAAATTAAGTAGGAATATAGAAAGGACTATATTATAGAAAGGACTATACTATAGAAAGGACTATATTATGCCAAAGTTCAATCTTGATATACAGAAATTTGTTAAATCTTTCATACCGGTTTTGATATATAGAACAACATTTGGTATATTTGAGCATTCAGACAAGAGATAGATTTCTACCTAAAATCAACCTGAATTTAACTGCTGTCATGACTGATGCAGAAAACCATTATTAGAATAAGCACCATAAAATGATTTCTTTTGTAGTTTCATATAATTTTAAAATTATTGACTGCATTTTTTATTTGACCTCACAAATTTGAAGAAAAAAAATTGTTTTCCCCCACTTCATTGGCAAATGCGTATTCTGTTCTTTTGTCTCCCTCACATTTTATCGTTATGCTTATGCAGTAGTAATAAAACATGAAAGAACATGAAGTATGTTAATTTCCTTTTTATTTTTGTCTTGCCTACAAATTATGAGGGTTAGGTAGAATATGCACAGTTAACAAGTTGATTTTAAGAGACAAGCTGAATTTTCCAGCATGGCAGTTCACCTTGTGAATGTTGAGACAGATGTATAAAGTTTCATGCAGCTGTCATGGCTGTAACAATGTCAACAATTTTTAGATGACATGTGAAGCTTTTGAAACTTGCACAAACCTTCTACATTAGTTGATGCTTCAAACAGAAGTCTAAGTAGGATATATTGCTGTCCGTCTAAAGTTTTACACCTGATATAAGATAAATTCCAGACACTGTAAAGTACATGTACAAGATTTATAATACCTGTTTACTATTTGCAAATGATTTACAAGAAAAAAGCATGCATTGCTAGTATTATATAAACTAAATGTTATGACATTCTTAAGCTGGTAAAACCCTTTATCAAAAACTATATTTACAAAATAAAAAAAATATATAGATCAACTGAATCATAAATGTTAAGACAGTTACACAGTGAGATTCAGATATACAAAGTTGGATCTGTTACCTGTCAGAGCATTGCAGGTGCTCGATATGCAGTCATTTTAAATGATGTTCTAAGAAATTGTTCACATGTGACAGTAAAAATGGCTACATGTTATATATACTGAACAATATGGAATCACTTTGTAAACATAGCAAAAACTTATTATTTTCATAAAGAAGATATGAGCTTATCCTTTTGCGTAAAGATGTGACATTATTCTGTTCAGACAAAAAATACAAAATAAAGATGACAAGATATGAAATGTTGCAATAATGCAGTTCACATTACAGATAAAAAAAAAATAAATTACTCCTTAATAGGAAAAAAGGGCAAAGAGATGAACTAATTGTGACACTAAATCCCATCAAAAGTTTTGGCTAACTTGAATGCAAAGGAAGGCTGGAGCATATTAGAAAGGTTGATCTAGCGGTGCAAAGAACACTGTGTAGAATCAAACATGATATGAGCACATTCAGCATAGAAGTACTGTAACGAGGAAACCCCATAGACTTCAATTATTTTTGTTTCGTTATATAATATTCGTTTCGTTAAAGTTTATATTGTTATTTCGAATTTTTGGCGG